GATTGAAGGAAGAGGTCGTTGAAGAATAAGATCATATTGTATTCAGTTTGCTATTCTTAAACCCTGGAAAATGGGTGCGACGGATACCGTGCAAGTCTCTTATGTGCTAGAACGGTAACCACAATGAATGTGGATGAGTTTTGAGCTGAAGGTGCTTAGATGTCTTGTACTACATCGTGGGCGTCAAACATCCGGCATGATAAATGAGTGCCATTTTACTGGGACAAAGCAGTTGTTGTTCCGGTTTTTTAAATTGCTTCCACTACGTGTACCAACCACCAGGGGATGGGCGCCATCGCGGTTGCATCCAAACTATGGGCATCAGCTCCACACAGTAGAATACCTCCCGTACGCGAATCGTATCACCGGACGAACAGGGTGGCTTCATACCTAGCGGCAGATTTGTGGGTCAGCTTACACACACCGTCAAACCATGGAACACGGTCACCTTTACCAAAGCCCTAGCATCGTTGCGAACCTGGACTTCCGTGTTGTATTCGCTTCGGTTGACCGACTTATACGCCTTGGTACGAAGGGATTGACACCTCCCACCCCCGAGGTTGGGATATGGCGCAGCCACGATTTGGTGATGTCGGAACGACGTACAACCGAAAGGTAAAAAAGCACATTCTCATCGGCAACTAAGGGTGATGTCGCCCAAGGACTTTAGGTAATTTGCAAAAGCAGGGTCCAAAATAAACGGAACTTGGAAGTCCATGTACTCACAGCGAAGTTCCACGCTCCGAGGCAACGATGCCTGCAGCGTGCTATCAAGAGGAACTGCAACAAAAGCACCTAATGCTGGTTTATAAGCAAGAGCTGTTGAACAAGCTTCTGGTACATTGAACACACCCAGGCTCAAAGTCCTACTGCCGTGTTGAAAACGCATAACTTCATGGTGCGCTTTGGATGCACTCCTAGGGCTACTATGCACTATAATAAATGTAAATGGTGATGATGGAGCGATGAACGCTACCAATGTAGCATCAAAAGTGTTATCTGCCGACTGAAACACGTAGGTACACAGAACGCCAAGTTCACAGCTAACACAAAGCAGCACACCCCAGCCTTGTCCAACCAATACATCACAGTTAAATAGTGCGTAGCCAGGCTGATGCATTCCACTGTCCGTGATGTCCTGAGGCAGCCACGGTTCACTGAGTGGGAGGGTAGCAAGAGACGCATCTGCAAGCACACCCATCTAGTAGCTTTTACTCATTTAGCTATGTACATTGCTGAGAACTAGGTACTCCCTATAGTAATGCCCAAAGCTGAACCGTACGCTACCAGAGCAGGTACCGGCAGGGCGGGAAAGGACCGCCGCATGGGCACCTGAAAAAGTATCTACGTGGGTGTAGGTTGCTTAAAAACTAGAAGCAGGAAGACGGATGAATGAAGACAAAGAGAAGACGTCGGCAAGCGAGAAAACGCGCGAACCTAAATAGGTATGCCTGGAAATGGGATGAATGGGTAGGTACTAGTATCCTTGAAATTGCGTTTCAAGGTGGTTTGACGTCTGTAGCAAAGAGATATGCTGGACGGACGAAGTGAAAAACAGATGTAAACGGAGTTCACAATTCATAGTCAGAAACAGAATTCGAATAAGGGGCATCAGAAAATAGAAAGGGAAATGAGAGGCGTCATGAAGCTAGGGACAGACTCCCGCTTAAAGCCCAATAGTTTCAGCGCAATAACAAGGCAAGAGAAGCCGTCATACTGAGTTAATCCAAGGTCTGGTAGAGGGAAGCACACATAAAATTTTTCCACGAGGAAACCTGCTGTATACCAGGCTTGTAAGCCTCAGTGTAATAAGCAAGGTAAGGGAACAGCAAAGACATGTGGCATTGCGAGGCGAAAGCTTCATGCTGACAACCAGTAACCCAGGTGAGGTGAGAGTATAATAAGCGTATCAAAGCATTAACTGGCTATGAGATATAATATGGGGAGCCACAGCAATCAAAGCGGGGTAAAAGAAACGGATCAGTGGAAGTGCCAAACATGAGTTAGTAAAGCTCAGTCGCCCAGAAGCTGTACGAAATCAGGCGAGACAGCTTAGGCAAGACTGGATTAGGCAGAAAGACGAGTATTCGGCCAAAGAGATGTGGTGTGAGGATTAAAGACGCAAGCACAGGTACAGGACACAAACTCAGGAAAATGTTCCTACAGAGGTCAGAGAGGCGAAAGGTGTGCTGAGTCAGCCGTTACTGAGCTAATCCCATGCTGCATGCGTAGATTAATAAGGTCAGGGCGAGACGGGATCAAGAACAGAGTAAGCATGCAAGGTAGCATAGACTCACGATGATAAGGCTTGAAAGGTAGGGTGCGATAGCCATGTCCTAGTTAAGGTTAGAATAAATGCCGCGAGTGAATCTACTTTAACTCAGGTTTTTAAGCCGCAGTTTTCTAAGTGAGGTAAGGAAATAGCAAAGGCAGGTGAGGCAGTGCGGGTCGAACGCGTCATGCAGACAATAAGCAAGCCGACTGATGAGCGAGCTGGTGACATGGCTCCTGAGGACTTCAGCATCCCCTTCACTTGCCCGGTACCACTATGTTCCAATAGGGGTTACCTACGGTCTATCATGTAAGAAGTCCGAAGGTATTCTCTTGGTGAGGGCCCTACTACAAGGGTCGGAATCGGTCTTTGCGATCCGCTAATTGCCTCAGAACCAGTAGCTTCGATCGATGGACGTGTTTGCTTTGGTGCAGCGTCGACGTTGTGGTGACCGGCTTTACACCAGGCGCATACTGCGAGGATGGTTAGAAATGAACCAAAAGAGTTTTCAACTTAGGGTTGATAGTTCGCGAAGTGGAAACAATTGAAAAATGTTAAACCGAGGATGCTGAGACTCCATCCCATCTTACTTTGTCCACCCGTGTAGTAGTGGACTAGAACAAATTACCAGAGCTCGTCGTCAGCCCACAGAGTTAGGAAAGTTTCAACCGACTGTGGAATACTTATCCGCCGAGCAAGCAAAGCTCCTGTTATCTTGGTTACGACCGCCCCTCTCTGTGAAGTGCTTGGGCAATCTCTCGCGGTCGGCTGCATACCCACAGGCTGGAAAGCACGTGCCGTCTTGCCCAAGTACGAGGGAGAAACCCACAAGACCCAGCCAACTACTGGCCAATGTGCCTGACATCAGTCGTGGGTAAAGCCATGGAAGTAATTGTCAAGTGCGCCACCAGCTACACCAACTTGCTCCTCACCAGAAAAGCATGGGCAGCGGCCATGAAAGCCCGAAAACAGGTAGGTGTAATATTCATTGAATTAAGCAAAGCCATTGAAAAGGTTCCGCACGTGCGACTGCTATATAAACCACGGACTTGGCATTACAATGAATCTTCTCTCCTGGATTGCCGATCTATTTAGCGGTAAGACAATGAGCGTACACGTGAACTAAACCCTCTCTTCTCCAGTGCCTGTGACTGGTGGTATTCCCCAAGGGTCAGTGCTTGGACCGGAGCTCTTCAGATTGTAATTTAACGATCTGCAGACCCCACTTCAAACCGACTGCTCGGTCTAGTCCTATAACCTCAAGCTATGGTCAACGGTACCCAGCTTTCAGGATACGACAGATTACAAGGGACTCCAGGACCAGCTACAAGAATGATCCATCAAGTGGGAACTGAAAATAGACCGAGAAAAATGCGCTGTTTCCCCAGTGGGCAGCACTGTGCCCTACGGTACATAACATACTAGTAGGCTTCTCCTCATGAATACCAACCACGAGATTGATTTCGGGGTTACCATGACTTCTGACCTTACAACGACGCATGACACGTTGAAGAAAGTGGTCACTGGAAGGAGACTGATGGGCGAACTAAGATCCTTCGCTCGAATAACTCCTGAGATATTTCGACCTCCGTCCAGAATTAGAATATGGCCTACAACCTATCCATCCGCTTCCAAAGTTTGTATGCGCTCTACTGGAAAAAGATCAGTGAGGTACATCGAAAGCTGTTCTGGGTCTTCCTGATCTCCCGAACCCCGTTCGAATCAAGCAGCTAAACCTGTACTCCCTCGAGCTCCGCCGTCGCCGCGGTGACCTCAGCCACACTAGGCGTATCCTCTGAGGGGAATTTGCAAGTGCTTTACAACAATTCTTCTGGCCCAGCCCTGACTGTTCCACACGAGACCACACATGGAGAGTATATTAGCAAAGAAGACACCGACTTCGCACGGACGTCACTATATCCACTAGAGTGGTGAATGATTGGAACATCCTGCTGGTTGAAATTGCCGACGTCCCAGCCGAGGAACCTTTCAAGTGGCTGCTAGACCAACATTCGCTGCGATTGCTAGAATCTTGCGGCTGTCACTGCAATTGCTACGAACCGTCGAGGAACGTCCTAATGCAACGACATGCATCAAACCCAGTAAGATACGGAATAGATGGGGCTGGCAAGGGAATTCCCTCCTGCCCCCTATAAGTTATTGAACTCAATGAATGCTTGCTTTAAACAATAACGGAAGGAGCAGACACGGGGTTCACCTTTCTGCTCTCTACCAATCAGGTAACCTAATGATACGGGAAACCCTCAGGCTGCAGAGTGGCCAACGAATAAAAAAAACTACATATCGTTGCAATCGCTTTATCTGGCACCGTATGCTCCACTACCTCCGCGTGTTTGCTGCGATTAAAAACCATGTGACAAAACCGCAATGTCATCCAACATGGTGAACCTGACAGGGAGGTTTGGGCAGGAAAATGTTGGACAGGATGTGCTGCGATCTTTGTTTTAGGCTTTTCAACATCTCAAGCAAACTTGTCAGTTCCTGATCCGACGCTATGCAAAAGAAGGGACATTCACGGGATTATCCTATCGTTCCGGTCCCAACTAAACTTGAACTTAACCCAATTAACCACGTCGCTTTATCGCCATTTCAAACAATGCTTATTCTGAGAGCAATGCATGCATAAGACATGCAACTGTAATCGATTACTTTGGAGTTCACTGTTTTAGCTCAATGTATTTCATTCGTATTCACTCCGCGACCTACATTTTATTTGGTGTACCCAAACGCAACGCTCCCATTCAACGGTGCTGTGCTGGTTTTTCGTGATTACGCGCATTTGTGGTCTTTGCTTTCTTTTAGTCCCCTGATAGTCTTTTACTCCCCTGTATCTTATTATGTTGTTCCCATGGTCCTGCTGAAAGATGCGCGCGTTGAGTTTTACCAGGAAATCATTGGGAAGGTTTGCTTCTGTCAAGATCTGTATTATTCTTTAGCGCGTTTTGGTATTTGTTCTACCTAATGTTGATGGAATGTGCGCCTGGCGAATACTTAAAGCAAGTTCCTGTTTTATTTGTTTACCACCTAGGAGCTTTTTATTTGCCGCCAAGTTTTATACACTTTGTTGGTGATTTTCGATAAGGAAAACCTTCGGACAAGCTACGAAAGAAACAAGCATTCGGTACTTGCTGCCACAGTCGTAACAAATTTCGACCTTAGTTTCTCAACGTCATTCTTATCAACTGTGGGGCTAACTTTGATGTGATTGAAGCACTTGGGCCTGAGCATGAAACGATATTTTACATTTGTGACAGGTATTGGTGAATAGCCTTTTCCTATACTACCAGTCACCGACCGATACATGTTAATAATTTCTACAATCAGCGGCAAGTCAAGTTGATTAGCATTGGAGAGGATACTTCTGATGTTCCCCGTTTTGAGGAAATTTTTCGACAATCATCTGTAAGCGATTTTGAAGTGTTCTCACTTGTAGTCCGATGGATCTGATGATGGAAGTGATGCTGAAGAAGGTGAACGAGTGAATGCTGAGGTGATCGAGAAGCGTATTGAAAAACGCCGATGGGCTCGGCGACGCGATGAGGTTCTGATGGATTATGAAAGTTTCTCATATCACACAGTCTCGTCGGCAATTGTTTTCTTCGACTTAGCTTGGCGGCTCTCTCAGGACAGCAACTGCCTGTTGTGGTAGGTTAATCTGGTTTCTGATTCTGGATGCATGCGGCAGCGGCTCAGTTAAGGTAGCGTCGGAACTGCCTACACATCATTTTTTACTTATGCTGAATGTGCGAATCACCTTAGCTACTATGTCTCAATACAGTACAGTAAGCCAAAGGAAATACTAGAAAAGGAATAATAATGAACAGTACAAAGTGCAAACTAGAAACAAGTAATGTCTACATTTACAATGACGCCATCGTTTAGGAGGGACAGACAACACAATCGCCACTGATCTCGGCTCTGGTCATGTCAACAAGTGTAAGTAACCATGCGCGTTCACCGCGTTTTGGATCTCGGCCCAGAATTCATGAGGTTCTAGCCGAGGCCAACGTAAAGTAAAACCAAGTAATCGGTTAGCCGTCTCTCCCGGTTCACGCACACCTGATTCGCGCAAATGCGCATGTCGCGCGAGTTGGTAGGTTGGAATTGGTACCAAGTAAAATATCGGTACTTGGCGGTCCACTCTGTCTTGCACCGCAAAGTGGACGCTCTTCGCTCACGTTCTTGTTCTTGCCGGAGACGAACTGCGAAGTCACCGGTGATCGAAGCAACTGACATCTTTACGTGTCCATCTGATGGGACGGGTTTCAATACCGTATACTAGGTATAAACACAGCGGCATTGTAAACTGTACCCTTCATGACCCGAATAATCTCGCGTTGGTACCAAAAGTGGCGAAGGTTAGCGAAATAACCTCGAGCTACTGTAACACGGTATGTGGCCTCATTTTCTATCCAGCAGGCACAGAGACAGCTACTCAGCCATTCGAATATATGTACTAATTTTAGCTGATCCCCATCAAGCGTCAACGCATGAGTTGCGTACTACCAATCTTGAAAAAATACCAAGCAGTTGAAGGACGCAAAGGAGAGCGAAGCGGATGATATCTAATGTTACTTTGTCCAATGCTGCTTTACACTTTCGTGAGCTGCGATATGTTAAGGCGACATTATCAGAGTACTTTACATTAAGAAGTCGGTCAACTAGAAGCATCTTCATGCCCTCCAAATCGTTCATAGTGAACGAGTTTCCCATGGCTTGTTGAATATCGAAGATAAAAGGTGACAGCGTACTTCCCTGCCTCACGAATCAGGAAATATTGAAGGGCGACGACAGTTTGCCATAAGTCGTCACTTACCCCAGCCACCCACGTAAAGCGCTCGAGCAAATCTTCGCTGGTCACAAAGGACATTGCTCCACCTACTCGAAGCGTGTTTGACTTCAAGATCGTCAATGTAGATGGAGGTGCTCCAATTACTAGTACAAAATAAGGATATGGACAGTGCTGTTTCGGGTTAGTTGCAACCCAGCTTACCTTTCACAATTCTGGCTTTTACGCCTGTTAATAAATTTGTAAAGAAGGACAGGCAGGTGGCTTGAAGGCGACGGAGTTCAGACTGATACCTTTACGACTGCCCATTCCGAACATGAACCTCCCTTGAAAATCGGAACTAGAAACGAGCAGCTTCAATCGATTAGCACACCTTTGTTTCCATTTTTTAACTAATAACTCACACAATCATCCACAAAAGTTAGGCGTCTAAATTTGAAGAGGTTGGTAGAACTACACCTAGTCTTACGGCCTATTATTTCAGCAGTCTGATCTCACGATTAAGAGTTCTGCGAGAGGGCGGATCCAAACAAATAGCTCAGGCAATAAGGCGATCACTAGCAGGCACGAATCTGCCAATTCCGGCCGATTAAATTGCTTTTCAAGGTGCTCAGCCCAACGCTGCGAGCGCTTTGACAGCTTATGCATAGGCTGCCCACTCTTGTTGCACAGTTTCACTTACGCCAGGTCTCCTGCTCCTTGCTTTCCGTATCAGACGGAGTAACTTCCGATGGCTGCTAAGAGCAGCGGCCGTTTTCATCCCCGATGCACGACGTGACTACCATGTTTCACCGTCTTTTTCAGGCTGGAAAGACAATAGGGCTGCTGCGCCCAACGAACCATGCGGCGTCCCTTATGTTGAATTGTGGCGCCCTTGGTTATCTGCTTGTCTCACTGGTGCCTGTGTTCCTGGGGTCAGTAGTGCAGATCCTTTGGGTGGGTGCGATAATCGCTAATGCTCCAGTCTCATGCGTTTCTTGTACTCCACTGGTCCAACAGGCATCCTTGTCAGCCCGCAGGCAGCGCTTTACTTTATGCCTAATAGTGTCTGGTTACCTTGTGCTCAAAACCGGCAGAGTTTTTTTCTATCCACCCCAGCATGGCCAGTAGTTGCCGCATCAGCGTTTACGGATGCGTGCAACCAATAGTGAGGAGACAAGTCGGGCGCAGTTAATTAATTAACCCCGTGATGGTTATTCAAGTCAAGTCAAGATAAGCTTCATGCGCCAGTGTGGAAGCATTTTCAGCAATTTACGCTGTCGATATACTGCAACATAATATCGGTGGGGAATGATGTGATATTGGAAGAAAAAGTAAAAAAGTTCACTTTCAAGCAAGCAAACGTTTTCGCAATTAATGCATCATCACTTTTGAGCCGACTGACAAGCGAGACAGACAAGGCGAGATGGAGTTGCGACCCGAAGCTGTAGCAAAATTTCAACCGCGTGGAAGGAATGAATGCCGTATTTGCTAAAACTCTGTGTAGGGGTTTAGAGAGGTCGTTTAGATACTTGGATGCTAAGTTGAAATATGAGTCAAGATGCTTTCTAATCACATAATCATTGAGGGGTTACATCCTTAATCCACAGTACTAGGACAAACTTTTGTGCTCACGCAGGAAAAGTATACTCATTTTGAAGAAGCTCGGGAAATATAAAAGGGGAACAGTACGGCAAATGAGGCAAACACATGCATATTCTAACCCTAAAATTGAAGCACGTGGTACGGAAAGCATTAATTTTACTTTAGACACATAACACGTCATTGCCCAATGTGTTTAACGTACATACGAGTGTAACCTGTTGACTTATTTGTCTTAGAGCGCGAACATTGCACGCCACGGGAACGGGACAGGTTGGGCTTGAAAAAAGTTGTTTACGTTTATCTTCTCGTAGGTGGAGTGAAGATGGCTGCAAATGGTAGAACGCCATTGGCATTGCGGCTGCTGTCATTTGAGTTAGAAATTATGGAATGAAGGCTGATAATGGGGTTGGGAGAGGAGTAAGAGAAACAATCGTAAAGCAAAGAAGGAAAACGCAACCGTAACATGTTTTCGTTTATTCGACCTGATGTATGCAGCAGTTAAGGCGACCTTGGATAAGCTACGCGACGGTCGTTGCAGGATGTGGTTGCAGTTTGAAGAAATAGTCATGGCTATGCGTAAGTTGAGACACTGCTAAGCCATCCAAACCTATACAGTAAGACGATTATGGTCCTCGAATAAGTTTGGCCAAAACCCTGCCCGTAAGATGACGCAGAAGTGGCAACAATTCGGCGATACAGAGATGGACTCCACCTCATTTTTCACCACTAACTTAAAGGACCAGGAGACCAAGTTTCTCTGGCTTCTAACCACTGACCAACCTGGCAAGAGTAGCTCTCAAGGGAGAGCCTATGGTGCGCCGAGGCTGGTGGTGGCTAGATCCTGACAGATGGTCTACCCACTGCTGCTACTGTTTTGCCATTTGCTCATGTCCTTGGCGCCTTCTCATGGCGACCGCTGGGTGGCATTTGGGTTTCGCCCTTCTCCCTGCTAAGATCCAGAACACCAATCAGCATGAGTCAGTGAACTGACCATGTGCTAGACCCGCTGCCTTTCGGATGTTCATTTAATCGAAGGTTTTGGCTGAGGACCCGAGTCGTTCTCCTGTCAGGATTGCGCGCTCTGGCAGTATCCTAGTCCATCCCCTTCTGAGGTTATGAAATGGTCGACGGCCCACTTCCCTTAAAACCTAGCCATAGGAGACAACAGGTCTACGGGTTATAAGCTCCCAGCTCGATTGGCGTAGAGCACGAGTGCCACGCATTGTCTCTGACGGTGGGAGGACACCTCCGGGTGTTCAATGGTTTGCTACTGCCCGCCTCAAGCCAGGCAGCCCCTGGTCAAATTGGTGCAAACCCGCCTAAACCCACCTGCGTCTGGCCGTGGTCGCAGGTGCGTATCCTACTACGGTCGCAAAACATACATAAGACGTTCCAGAACCTCAAAGACTGCGTGTGACGGCCGTCAAGCAGATCCCAATCTGCCTCTGCAATCACATTCCCGAGCTGAATCTGCTCTCCACTGCCTTGTGGGTCAAGCTATTGAGCCAAAGGCTCCGGGCGGAGTCCCTCAAGCAAACATCCAAACCACCCACTGCCTTGTGGGTCAGGCTATTGGGCCAAAGGCTCCGGGTGGAGTCCCTCAAGCAAACCTCCGAAGCACAACGACCACCTCGCGTGCGATTGCCCACCAATGCAATCGTATGCCTGCGCGCAATGCACTCAAAATCGGGTGCTGGAATGTGCGCACACTACTGGACCGGAACTCCAGCGAGCGCCCGGAGCGACGCACGGCACTCGTCGCGATGGAGCTGGCGCGTTACCACATCGATATTGCGGCGCTCAGTGAAACCCGGCTCGCTGAGCAAGGTAAGTTGCATGAAGCAGGTGCTGGCTACACATTCTACTGGGTGGGCAACGCCACCTCAGCACCACGTGAACATGGGGTCAGATTTGCAATATCCGATCGCCTCCATGGCCAGCTGGTGGGTGAACCAACAGGCATCAGAGCGCGACTGATGACTGTTCGCTTACGACTCGGAAGAGGTAAGTTTGCTAGTTTTATAAGCACGTACGGTCCGACCATGTGTTATCCTGATGACACGCGT